ATACATATTATATAATAAATAAATATTAATTAATATTTTTTATTTTTTATTTTAGTTTATATTTATACTCGTAGTACCTCCTCTGGGAGGCCTCTACAGTCTGACTAATCTGCTTTTTTATTTTTATTTATTTTTAACCTATAAACCATCAATTGTTCTTATTGTTCTTCTTTTTTTTTTTGTAACAGATTGAATAAAAACATAATATGAATAAAAAATAACTGTTTTAACACAACTATAGATAAAAATTAAAAACGTTTTACAATTCTACACAAATATCACATTGTAATATACATTAACTGCTGTCTGTTAATCATTATTAAACTCTTTCATTCAATGTGTAATTATTGTTAGTATTTACTAAGATAATATTACTATGTTGTAGGGCATTATTTTAATTATTTATTATACGTCTAGTAGTTTTATTTTTTAATACCTTATAATGAGCCAAATAAAGACACATCTTTGTACAAATATTTCTTTTGTTTTTCAAGAACTTTTTAAGAAATACCAAAAGATTAGAATTATGAAACACTCAGTATGATTTATGTATTTACGCTGCAAGTCTGTTTGTGTATTTCCAATTGAAAACGTCGCCCTTATATTGCAACACATGGCATGTATTACGACAGTCGATGAGAAATGAGAATACATTATACAGATAGAATTTAAAGTATAAGAAAAATTACAAACAATCGTGTTCAAAATGTGACAAGTTAATCGCTGAAGCTTAATATTTACCACGCCGAAGTGTCTTTAACGGAAGGCCTCTTAACTTACAAACGATTAACCCAATACTCAGTACTTACACTTATCTTAAATAATTACATAATTTATAGACTGTGTGGATACTAAAAAAATATCAATATTCACGTTTTTTGAATCACCCACACCGATGTAACAGAATATTATAGTGAAAAATTACATATAATATATAGGTTTTACTTATAGGTGTTCCTTAATTTTTTTTTGTTTTTTCTCAACGCTTTTAAAAATGACTGAGAATTTCAAATGTTGATCTCCTCAATGCACCAACTAGATTCACTTTCCCATCGAACAAGATACTGAAGTTAAAAATCGAAGCATTATTTCGACTGCATATCGTGTACACAGACAAAAAAAAAATAAAACATACATAATTTTAAAAAATCAATAAATTCATCTCTCCGCTCAGAATCTAAAAAAATAAGGAAAAACGGGAATTTTTACTCAAAACCGATTTGGTTTTTTTTTATGTTACTCAAAATCGAAATGATGCCTTACTTGACATTTTAAAAAACTGTTTATATTATTATTTTCTATATTGTAATATATTAGAGTTTAAAATATTTTGACTCTTTTTAAGCTACATAAATAATAACATTATTTATCATTATTCATTTACGATTTTTTTTAGTTCTTTGTCTCGACACGGTACGGTATGGCAACAAGTACAAAGTACAAGCTCTATAGCGACCCGTCTACTTTCTAGTTTTTACCAGTCACGACGCGATACAGTCGAATCTTCCACTAAGCTGTAAAGGCGCAAGGTACAGGAGCGGGAAGACAAGTCGCGTCGGACGATCGACTCAATCTCGTTCTCCGACCACCATCACGACAACTCATCGTCGATTAGTTAACCACGCATCTTATTCATTTTTTTGTTGTGCATCGTCTTCCTGGGTGACGATCGTCCATACCTACAGGCAGTCAGCCTCGTAAAACCTGTTAACCAATTGGCAATAATAATGAGTTCGTCAGTTAAACTTAAGTGTTGTGTTTCTCTACCATGGCCTAAACACTCAAATCTGCGACCGCACTGTCACGAATCTTAGGCCATAATTCCAACAACCTGGGTCAATCTGTAAAATATGTCAAAAAACATGAACATTTAACACGAGGTCCCTCCGGTATTACACTATTACAAAAAATTACTCTGACAAAGTAACTTGACAGCCACTGTTTAGCAGAGTGATCATTTACTTTCGCCATTCTTTTTTTTGTCAGTTAGAAGGTATTGCATTGATTAACTATGGACGAATCTACCCGATATCGTACATCAAATGCGTGTGTGTATTGTTATATATTTTGTTGTTATAGGTCTTCTGAAAACGAGATCCGCTGGAATAGCGTGGGGCATAACACAGGTAGAGCCATGAACTCATTTTATTAAAAAAAACTATCAAATAAACATTCACTTATAGACTAAAAGTGGTCAAAAGATGCTGTGAAAATATTCCAGGACACTCAATACATTTGCATTTCAGAATAAAATAATGTTAAAATTAATATTTTCAAATAAAATCTTAATTTTAATTTATTATGAAAAAAAGTACTTAAAATAAACCTTCATTTAAAAATACGAATAATAAAAAAAAAATCTGTACAAGTGATTAAATATAATGTTTGTCAATATCTTTGGCATAAACCATTATAAAATATGAAATATTTGATTAAATCAGAATAATATACAAAGAAAATGTGTACTTGTGTAATGTGTAGGTAGTTAAATATGGAGAAATATGGAAAATAGAATTTTATTTAGAAGTAAAACCTTATAGATTTCTTTTGAATTTTATTCTTTTGTAAAAGGTAATAAATTCGCACAGCATTGTCAATAATCACGGGAATTCGGGAATTATGACAATAATATTATTAATATTGCTGCTTCATGTATCACACATGAAATTGAAAATCGATTTGACACATAAAGGGCATGGTTGTCTCGTTAAATATACTGCTCGGGATCTAGGTACGACAATATTAATAATAGTACAACCATAGAGTACAACGTCGCTGGAGAAGAAGAAAACGGTACAATAAATTTAATTCCACTCACGTGTGAATAATGTTGACAATTTTATGAGTGCATAACCGACCTATACTTAGTACTATACCTGTATGGCTGTATTCTGTATGGTATACTCTGTTAGTCGGGTTTCCAGAGTATTCACACTTTGTTTGCCTGTTTCCACGTCTTGTGGAATCGGTTAAAGATGTTTCAGTTTCACACGAATTGACTTGAAGACAACCTACGCTTTGATTTAATACCGAATATCAGTGTTTTGGTTCTTTAACATCATTTGATATTATTTTACATTGGTATTACAATATTATATTATAGGTATTGGTATACAATTGACTTAATACTTAGCAAGTGATTAGTAAGTACCTCCTACCTGTAAGTCGTATTAAAACAACACCATTAAATTACTATATACGAGTAAGCGTATCAGCGTATGTAACTTAATAATATGTGCTTCAATTATTGTGTCAGTAAGTATTTATAAGTTGCAATGTTTTCGCGGAATATATACTTGGGTACCATATATACGATTATACGAATATATTATAGCTGTTCTCGTGCACTTCGTCGAGCGTAAATATAAAATGAAAACAATTCTAATTTCTGACGTTTGTTTTTGTGCGTCTTATGTTTAGGTTAGCACAACAAAAAATCATTAAACGTCATACCAACAAGTAAAATATATAAACTAAATTTGAAACCTATACACTGGGCCGTATTTAAGGGGGGGGGGGGGGTAGGCAACGGAGAAATTTGCACGGGCGGCCAATTTGTGACACATTTATTGCCAGTCGCCGGTGTATATTTAACATTTTTTTTTTTTTTTTTGGTAAAAATTTGTTTGAGTACCTGTACTTGGACGTTTTCCATTGCATGATGCGGCCATTTGGCGTCATTTATTCATTTTGTCAATTAATGATAACTATTATCATTGTTAAATCATTGATGGTGCTAAACTTGAATTCAATAAGAATATCATTGTATAAGAAAAACGATTCTGAGCAAAAACTGTCCGTTAGCCTATGGTATTAGTTTAGTACTAAGTATATTTGATGATATTATTTGATTTAATTGTAGACATTTTTTTTTGATAAAAGTAGACAAACTTATGAGGGATCTTGTATTACATTTTTAAATCTTAGATATAAAAAGAAAATTTTTTATGAATTCTCAATTCAAAATAGTTTGCTAATTTTCGTGATTGTTCGTATTTTGTCAAGATTTGAACTTTATATGCTTATAAATAAAAACTGTGATTAAGGATTTTTAATATTTTTCCAATGTCATTAGTATAGTATAGGAGCCTTGTATTAAATTTTCAAGCTTTTATACCTTACAAATAAAGTTTTATTGACATTCATGGAAAAAAAGACTAATGAAATTGGAAACTGAATAAATGTCTCTGAACAAATCAAAATAAATCAAAATATTTTGAAAATGTTATCTTGCATATAAAATGCAAATATAAACGACCAGGGAACATTTCATGTATATATGTTCATTTGTTTTAGAGTTATCTACATTAAAAACCAAAATTGATTTTGTGGAAAACCAATTTCAGTTTTTCCTTAATTTTTATGTTGTTTTTCCCGGCGCTGTTAAATTATTGGGAATTTTAAATTTTGACCTCCCCAATGCACAAACAATATTCACTTTCCCATCAAACAAGATACTGAAGCTGAAAATCGACGCATTATTTCGACTGCTTACCGTGTACAGACACAAAAATAAAAAAAAGGTGGGCAAGTGGGTGTCGCTCTGCTGTACAGTACGTTACAAGTGGGTCACTGTATAATGGATGGTATTACATTTGAATTCAATGATATTATATCATTGTATAATAAAACGATTCTGAGCGGAGACGGTATGTCCTTCTAGGTATAAGACATATTATATACTTATCTATGGTATTAAAAAAAAATTTACCTATAATGAATTCCAAATTAATCATATGACAATATCCATTAGGTACTTATTAACGCGTAAATGCGTAATACACCAACAACGAACCCTGATACTATCATAGATAGTTTAGATTCTAAAAGATTCCTCAATAAATTTTATTCGAAAAAATGGTTTGGGTCATCGTCAATTTCAACATTTTCTGGATGAAATTGAATCGGAATATGGTGACGTTATATATTTTACAGAAGTCAGATGGTTGAGTAGATGTGCGGCACTTAAATGATTTTTTGATCTACTGTTGGAAATAGAAATGTTTATGAATGAAAAAAATAAAATCGTTTCTGAACTATCAGATGAAGCATGGATTCTTGAATTGGCATTTTTAACAGATATTACAACATTTTTGAATGAATTGAATATAAAATTACAAGGCAAAGGAAAATTACTCTCAGATATGTACACTGACATTAAATCGTTTCAAGTAAAATTAAAACTATTGTACAAAAATTTGGATCAAAACATTTTATATCATTTTTCGTGTTGTAAATCTGCGATTGAAATACCATTGCAGTGGGATTTAATTAAACCTCAATTTCTCAATATCATTGAACAATTAAAAAATGAATTTTCAACAAGATTTAATGATTTTTATAAATACGATAAAGAAATTAAATTATTCCAGAATCCTTTTCAAGTGGACATAAATAATGTCAAGAATAATTTACAAATGGAAGTCATTGAACTTCAAAATGACGAGGTTCTAAAAAATTATTTTCGGGAAGCAACTAGTTTGCCTCAATTTTATAGTTGTCTTCCAATATCTACCTTCCCTGGAATCAGACAATTCTCCCAAAAACTTATAGCGGCGTTTGCAAGTACGTATATATGTGAGCAGATATTTTCCATTGTGAAGTACAGAAAAGCACACTTCGCGCCTTAGTGATGAACATTTACGAGCTGTATTACGAGTCTCAACAACAAGTCTGCAAGATGATATCGAAAATTTAACTAATAAACTGCATGCACAGAAATCGCATTAATTTACAACTTAATAATCAAATATAACAGCAATACAATTATAAGTATTATATCATAATACGTAATTTTTTTTTTAATGTGGCCCTTGATGAAAAATTGAAAAAAATATGGCCCGCGTGGTTGAAAAGGTTGCCGACCCCGGCTTTAGAAGTTTCAAGTACCCACGGGCCACGAATAATATTATACTATCACAACAAAATGACTATAATAGTTAGGTATTCTACGTTTTTTATTATGTATTTTCGTCCAAATTTGAATTTAAAATGTCTGTAAAAAATAACTGTGTTCATATATTTTTTAGATTTTTGGTTACAGTATGAATTATTTATGAGAACCTTTGTTTTAAATTTGCAATCCTTAGTTATAAAAACTGAACATTTTATAATTTATTAATTACAGTGATTGATAATTTTCGAGATTTTGATAAATTTTGTCAAAATTCGATCTTTAAATGCTAATAAAAAAAAATTGTGCCTATGTATTTTAAATATTTTTCAATTGCTAATGTAACAATAAATCAGGAGCCTTGTATTAAATTTTTACACTTTTTGGCCCAACAGATAAAACTTTATTGATATTCATAGAAAAAAAAACTAAAAAAAGGTGGGTAAGTGGATGTCGCTCTGCTGTACAGTAGGTTACAAGTGGGTCACTGTATAATGGATGCTTTTAAATTTGAATTCAATGATACAATATCATTGTATAAGAAAAACGATTCTGAGCGAAGACGGTATGTCAGTCTAGGTTTAAGACAAATTATATACATATCTATGGTATTAAAAAAAAATTGACTTATAATAAATTCCAAATTAATCATATCATATTATCACAATATCCATTAGGTACTTATAACATGTTATACATCAACATCAATAACAAACCCTGATACTATCATAGATATATAATAGTACACTTTAGAAGTTTCAAGTAGGTACCCCGTACCCACGAATAATATTATATAATCACAACAAAATAACTAGGTTTTTTAATATGAAATTTCGTCCAAATTTGAACATAAAATGACTATAAAAATAAACTGTGATTGTATATTTTTTAGATTTTTCGGTAAGAGAATTAACTACTTACGTAGAATCTTGTTTTAAATTTTCAATCCTTAGCTATAAAAACTGAACATTTTATAATTTATTAATTACGATGATTAATAATTTTCGAGATTTTGAAAAATTCTGTCAAAATTCGATGTTAAAATGCTTATAAAAAAAAATTGTGCCTATGTATTTTTAATATTTTTCAACTGATATTGTAACAATATATCAGGAGCCTTGTATTAAATTTTTACACTTTTTGGCCCAACAGATAAAACTTAATTGATATTTATAGAAAAAAAAAACTAAAAAAATTGAAAACTGAAAATGTCCGTAAACGGCTCAAAAAGAGTCAAAATATTTTCAAAATTGTATGGTGTATAGGAAATGCTAATATAAACATTCAGTGAAATTTTCATGTATTTACAGTAATTCGTTTTTTAATTACAACAAAAAAGGAAATTGCCACATGAGAAATCGAGTGAATATCCAATGTTGTAAAAATTTGAATTTCAAACGCTCATAAAAATTTAATTTGACTTTCCGGTAGAGATTTTTTTATTGATAAAGGTAGACAATCTTATGAGTAATCTTGTATTAGATTTTCAAATCTTAGATTTAAAAAGAAAAATTTTTACGAATTCTTAACTCAAAATAATTTGCTAATTTTCGTGATTTTTCCATATTTTGTCAATTTTTGAACTTTAAATGCTTATAAAAAAAAATTGTGACTAAGGATTTTTAATATTTTTCATCTGCCTTTGAAACAATATATTAGGAGCCTTCTATTAAATTTTCAAGCTTTCGCAACCAACAAATAAAATTTTATTGATATTTCTAGAAAAAAAACTAAAAAAAACGAAAAATGAAAATGTCCCTAAACAGTTCAAAATAAATCAAAATATTTTGAAAATGTTATCGTGTATAGAAAATGCAAATATAAACAACCAGTGAAAATTTCATGTATATACGTTCATTTGTTTTAGAGTTACACCAATAACCAAAATCGATTTTTTGGAAAATCAATTTTGCGTAAAAATTCCCGTTTTTCCTTAATTTTTATGTTGTTTTTCCCGGCGCTTGTGAAAACTACTGGGAAATTTAAATTTTGACCTCCCCAATGCACCAACGATATTCACTTTCCAATCGAACAAGATACTGAAGTCGAAAATCGAAGCATTATTTCGACTACTTATCGTGTACACAGATACAAAAAAATAAAAAAATAAAAAATCACACATCATTGTAAAATCAATACATTCATCGTTTCACTCAGAATCTAAAATTGAAAAATGAAAATGTCCGTAAACAGCTCAAAAAGAGTTAACATATTTTAAAAATTGTACAGTGTATAGAAAATGTTAATTTAAACATTCAGTGAAATTTTCATGTATCTACAGTTATTCGTTTTTGAATTACAGCAAAATAAGGAAATCGCAACATGAGAAATCGAGTGAATATCCAATGTTGTAAAAATTTGAATTTCAAACGCTCATAAAAATTTAATTTGACTTTCCGGTAGAGATTTTTTTATTGATAAAGGTAGACAATCTTATGAGTAATCTTGTATACATTTTCAAATCTTAGATTTAAAAAGAAAAATTTTTACGAATTCTTAACTCAAAATAATTTGATAATTATCGTGATTTTTCCATATTTTGACAATTTTTGAACTTAAAATGTTTATAAAAAAATAGTGACTAAGGATTTTTAATATTTTTCATCTGAATTTGAAAAAATATACTAGGAGCCTTCTATTAAATTTTCAAGCTTTCGAAACCAACAAATAAAATTTTATTGATATTTCTAGAATAAAAACTAAAAAAAAAATGGAAAATGAAAATGTCCCTAAACAGTTCAAAACAAATCATAATATTTTAAAAATTTTATCGTGTATAGAAAATGCAAATATAAACAACCAGTGCAATTTTCATGTATATACGTTCATTTGTTTTAGAGTTACACCAAAAACCAAAATCGATTTTTTGGAAAACAGATTTTGCGTAAAAATTCCCGTTATTCCTTAATTTGTATGTGTTTGATCCCGGAGCTCTCGCTTGTGAAAACTATTGGGAATTTTAAAATTTGACCTCCCGAATGCACTAACTAGATTCACTTTCCAATCGAACAAGATACTGAAGTTGAAAATCGAAGTATTATTTCGACTACTTATCGTACACAGACACAAAAAAAATTTAAAAAAAAACACACACATCATTGTAAAATCAATACATTCATCGTTCCATTCAGAATCTAAAAGGGATTAATTTTTTTTTTTTTGGTGAGGGGGCGTACAAATATTGTTGACCCAGGGCGCAAAAAGTGTAAGTACGACCCAGCTGCCTATACATATTATTTCTATCGGTAAAATGTCCAACAATATTTTTTAAAACGTATTTACATAAATATTTCTTTATACGGATACACTATAAAACAAATAACAAATAAAATAAAAAGATACGTTTCAACCTTTTATTTATTTATTTATGTTGTATAGGTACACTAACACAAAGTTCAAATTGTGAGTAAACATAAGGCTGTACTATCGCCTTACGGCATACAAAATACAAATATAAACTATAGATAGCCAATTTATTTTTTTTACCAAGCGTAAAACGTTTGACGAAAGCCTAAATAAATGAGAGGAAAACGATCTAAGCTAAGTTTGAGGTTATGAATTTTCTTGAGAGAATAAGTTTGTGAAACGAGGAGTTCTTAGAATCAGTGCTTCCCAATGAGTTAGTCATAGATTCGTTATGAATTTCCCGAGGCTAGGGCTGAAATTGGTTCCAAGAATGATGATATCAAAAGATTAACTACCTGAGAATTTAAATATTTAAACTACAAGACTCATAAATTGAAACCGTGAAGTTAAATTATGCTTAAGATTAATCTTAACTTGGTGTATTGGAGGGAGAAGTTACCCACTGACGACACTCCTAGCGAGATAAGCAGGACGTGTGCATAAAGGGAAGATAGATGGGAGTAGGTCCTATATGTAGAGATATTTCCTTTTCAATCTTTTGGAAAAATTTCCGGATGTTAGTTTGGCTAACTTTTTTGTTAGGATATTTGGGTGATCGGCAATTCGATAATCAATTGTGGTAGGTAACGTGCGTGAACATTTTTTATTTTTAATACGAAAATATACGCACACAAAACATTATTTTTTGAAAATCATTTATATGTTTTATCTATGTATCACATTTCGAGAATATACATATTGTTTCTTATTTTTATCAATTGAAAAAGTTTGTTCTGAAATATGATTGTACCTTTCTTCCAAGTTTTAGCAATAAAATATTTAAAATCTTCTTTTACTAGGGGTGTTTTGTTTTTTTTTTTTTTTTGCTGCTAACATATTGCAGACCAGGCAGGCTCACTCTTGCTTGATGTATGGTCACTAGGAGAATTTAAATTAAAAAATCATAATATATTATATGATATATTACCCTATATTATTATAGGTATCACTAGAATGGTGAAAAAAATTAAACTGATGGCGTACTACGGAAAACATCCTTTGTTCGCCAATTTATAAATTATTGTTTTGTGAATACACGTCTTAATTGTACACAAAATGTTAATCGATTTCAATCAAATGTTTTTCACTTAGTACAGTATAATACCTAAGACCTACATAATATTATAATATATTAATGTGTCACACGTCTTGCACCCAGGTGTAAGTACGAATGCATGATCGTTGATCATGAAGCATTACAGGCTGTCGAGCACGCAGCGTAGTGAAGACGGCGTGTTTTTCACAATGACGATAAATCAATTCCATTTTGATTCAACGTTTGTCCTTGAGTTGTATTTATATTATTGTTGAAGAACACAATCTGACGAGAAG